CTGCTTCCGTGATCCGTGTCTCCGCATGAAAAAACGCCTGCATGCTCGATCATGCATGCTGCCCCACGGAAAACCAGCCATCCTAGCTCGCTGCCAATACCACCTCATGCTTGTACAGGCATCATGCAATCAGATCAGCAAAGTGTGCCCGACCTGTTTCAAATTCAGCTTGTAATGAGACGGGTTTGGCTGTCCTCCAGCTGCCACTTGTTTTCGCAAGGTCTTCTCAAGGCTATTATCCAGCTGCCACTTGTTTTCGCAAGGTCTTCTCAAGGCTTAATGCACGGCCATGCAAGCATTGGAGTTGCTATACCTGTGCAACGTCAAGGATGGATCTTTTGTCTAGACGTCCAGTGACATCTGAAAAAAACAACCTGGCTGTTTGCATTGCTAGCTAGCTATATAGCATGGAATCCAGCGGCGCCCGTGCCTCCAGCAGTCCTGTCGACACTATTTCCTCGTCCTCAGACGTCGACCTTACCGCTCAGCTTCATAGCCTGCAAGAATCATTCGAGCTCTTGGTGTCGAAGTACCTCGTACTGGAAGAACGAGTGCACATATTGGAACAGGAACGCAATCGTGATTCGTCCCGGATTGGGTGGCTGGAACAGTGGCAACAACATATTCGTAGCTTGTTCCGTGCGGCCTGATCTGCATTTAATTTGCCACTCTCGACATCCGGACTTCGACATCGATCACGGGCTGGAGGCTGTACGTGTGCCTCGCATGTCACTGCATGTCATCGCTCTGTCATTGCCATTCATTCTGCAGGTGAGATCGATCTATGGGTGTGGGAAAACGCAAACGGCTGCTGCTTGGCATCCCTGGCCTGTGCTTGTCGTTCCTGTGCTTGTCGTTCTTGCACGCAGCTCACACTTCAACATGGCCGCTTGTTGTGCAATTAATATTCATATCGCTGCAATTTGCCCGGTACCAGCTTGTGTCATTACATGCCTAGCCTAGCAACGTGAACGTACTATATAGTCCTGGCCTCCGGGCCCAAGGGGCGCAACCATGGGTCCCGGCCGGCCCAAAGGCTCCGTGGAGCACAAGCTCACCGATGCTGAATTGCTTATGGTCCTGGACAACGTTGTGATTCCGGAGGTTCCTGTGCATCACGGCTGTTGAAAGCGTTTCCTGCAGATTTGAATTTGTGTATCCATATGTGCACTTGATAACCTGCATGACCAGGAGATCCTGCTGAAAATGAAGGTCGATCTTCCAGACCTCTTCGGTCACGCTGCCACCGTGCAAGAGACGTCCACGGGCTCGAGAACTAAGTCGGCTTGCGTCCGGGAGATGGCGAAAAACTTCCATTGGTTGCTGAAGCCCCTTTTGCAAGTGTGCGCACGACCCGTGCACACAGACAGCTTGATGGTAATTGTTACCAATATGTGCGAGCAAACGATATACCTCGATGCAGCAGTGGCCACGATGCTGGCCATGGACCTGAAATGGATCATGAACAGCCTCAGGAAGATCCGCAAAACTTGGAAGTATTGCATGAGGGGAAAGGCCGGTGACTGGCCCGAATGGGCCGGTGGCCTCGTCCGCATGTGATCGTCCATAGCTAGATGTCCGTCCATGCATGGCTGACACTTTATTGCAGCGAGCATGATATAAGGCGAGAATTGGCCGCATGTGCTAGAGCTGGTCCAGTTGATGGCAGGTTTTGAGAATGAGGAGGCTGGATGAGTCGTTTCCAAGAGCTGCACGCATGTGCCATCTGGACTTGGTCTTGCAGTCCCCTGCTCAGGATGATTTGGCGGCAAGCTGGAACCTCGCCGAGGCTTCTGGCGAGGATGACATTTCCGAGTTGTGTGGCCTCTGGAATATGGGACCCGCCGAAGCACCCTCGCGAGGTCTGACGCTTTCT